CTGAACTGCAGATAACAGTCAGCTGAAGCGGCCTGCAGTACTGCACCCTAACCACTGCGCCACCTCGGCTCTGGAAACAGCAGGCCAAGTTTGAGACCTGAGCGCCACACAATGTATGAACTTTCGCCCTCACCCCAGCTCCTCAAAACACCTAGCAATTCGAAAGCATGCAAATGCAAGTAGATAGAAAGGTACCACTTCGGTGGAAAGGTAACAGCGCTACGTAAAAGGTTAACAGCGCTCTGCGGTGTAATGCTGACCACATGACATTGGAAAGGTCTTCAAGCAGCGCTGGCTCAATGGCCTTGAAACGCAGATGAGCTCCGTCCCCTATTGTCGTCGATGACTAGCGGAATAGAATCCATTTTTAAACTAAGAAAAAAAGTGGGCTTCATATAGAGGGCTTACCGGATGCTGCTGGTGGATCTGAAGCATTGTAGCTTGACTCCGATGTTCTTTTTGTATTCTGGTCCTTTCCATCAGGTGAGTCACTTTGGTCTCCAATATTGTTTGGCGGCCCACTTTGGTCTAGCGAAGGAGATTTCAAACCACAGGGGCCTAGCAGAGGAGATCCATTTTCTTTTAAGGAATCTGCGGCATTGTCCAGTTCGTTAGGAGGTTGTCTAGAAGATGAGGTGGCAAAACTCTGCTTTTCTTCGGACAATAGCCGGGAAGTACTTGCGTCTTCATTATCAACCTCTCTCCTCTTGGCACAAGTGAAATGGTTACAAGAACCCTGCAGGTATTTGTGTGAGGAAGCCTGAAGAGGATCCATCGCACATGGCGGGTCTAAGCAACAGCAGGGTCCTAATTCTTCCAGATTTTCCGTTCCGGTGAAGAAGTAATTCAAGCTGTCGTTCTCTCCCACTTCTAGCGGTTCAGAGAAGGGTGATGTGGGTTTGCTATCAGATTGGCTGACTAAAGGTAAATAACACTGCCCGTGGGTTGCTTTGTCTGTGTATTCATCTTCCATAGGAATCTGTCTCAAGTGGTCATCTTCAGAGATGGTAGTTAGAAACAATGGTGGGAAATTTCCTCCTGACCCGTAAAGTATTTTCTCAGGATCATCTTTTCTACCCAGGAGGTGCTCACACGGGTAATGCATCTCACCTGGAAAGCAATATTTGTCAAGATCCACCAAATACGTGTCTCCCAAAAGCTGAAGGCCAGCAGGATGTGCTGCGTTTGTGTTTACAAATGTATCACAAGAGGAATCCTGCAAAGAAAGGAATAGACTGTTTCCTATAGTAGTAGTGATCATCTGTTAAGTAAACCCAGACAAATTGGAACTATTTTTTAAAAAATTCCTATGGCTTAAAGCCAAGGGAGTCTTTGTGGTTTTTCCGTTTCTTATACTTCCATCATTTCCTTTTGACCTTATGTCAACCAAACAGTTTTACAAATTACAACTTTATTTCACCACTTAAAGAATTCTCCAACAAAGAAAGATATCGGAAGAGAGCAAACCAGGAAAAAAACATGAAAAGGTATAAAGTCTTAGAATTCACCTTTTTCCCTTTAATTTGGTGGCATATTTCCTGGGCCCAGTATTGTAAATCTGCTGGAAGGAAATATAGAAACAGTTTTCAGTTAGATTCCAGCATTTTAGGAGAATATTAGTGAACCACAAATGCAACTATACATATTATGGCTGGCTAAATATAAAAAAATATAAGTATAAGTATAAAAGTATAAGTATAAAAAAATATTTACAAAAACACTTATAAACATTCAATATTAAAGATTGGACTGAACTATTTATTCACAGTGAACCATCAGAATAAGACATATTATCATAATAGATAATATAACATTAAATTTTCTCACAGAGTGAAGCGCACTTAAAGTATTAATTTCAATAGACTTGTACGCTTGCTGTAATTGTGTTTCACTGACTGAAGAATAAGTGATAAAGATGACACATATGGACAAATTAAGAAAGCTTGCATAATTCATTCTTAAATATTATGGCGTCAATTTGTTTTTAAGTATACTTTGCTAAAAATAGTTTGCTTTTGGAAGGGTTTGTGGTAAAGTGTGAGTTGCAAAATGATTCCCGATACCCCCTCTTCAAATGGAAGATGTGTCTATCTCGACAATCTACCCATGACTAAAACAGAACATTCCATATCACTTGGGTCTTTGTTCCATATCATGTGCCATCAATTTATGACTGACTTGCTAATGACTTAGCTGTATGCGGGTGATTGGTNGTTATTATTGCGAATATTCCATATTTTGTTTAGCAGGATAACAGTCAAGCGGGAGAGAGAATAATTATTCATCAAATTATCCTGAAAATATTGTTCAAGTGCTTCTATGCAACAATCTTCTCTACACTCGCAATTAAACTACAGTGTCTACTATTATAGTTAATTGCTTGTCAGCTGTAAATGATGAGGGCCACAGCCCAGCATATTTGGAAAATGTACACTATAGTGTAAAGGATGCCATAAAAAAGTATGACTAATATTTTCATCTCCTTTAGTTGTACCTCTCTATTTGTAATTGGAGGTTCACTGTGGATTCTTTTTTCCCTTTAACCACCACCACAACATTGGCTAGCCAAGTAGCTTGACCAAAGTAAAGACTGCCAAAAAGCATACTTTGTTTGCTGGGTGGAGAAAAACCACTGGCACCAGAATATAATCACATTGGGCCTAACCTTTCCAAAATCCCAGAGAAAAAAATAAATGTTATTTAAATGATCTTTAAAATTAACTTTCTAGATTAACACGCAGAGCCGAACTTACTATGAAGCAATATGAAGTGATTGCTTTAAACAGGATTTTCCACTTTTCTGCCTCTAGCTTCGATTTTTATACTGTAGTGTCAAAAAATGAGTAAAGAACAGATGTAATTTCGATGTTCAGATTTGCATAGATCTAAGGTCTACGATGCCTTCATTTGACTTGCCTTTCTTCTCCGTCTTCTGCATTGACCTCCGGAATTGTATATACTGCTACGTACATCTATGTATGCCGTCTTTACTTCAATACATAAATTGTTTCCTATTTATTTAATTTCCCAACAAAATCTACTCAGATCTCTTTGTCTTCCATATAAATATTAACAAAACCTGTCTTTATTTAGCTTTTTTTCAATATAGAGTGGGTGCTGCAATCTGCTCTGTAGGTGCTTAATAATATCTAACCCCCCCCCCCACTATCAATAAAAGCATGCAGTGTGGTGGCTCAGGAGTTAAGAGAGTGGGCTTGTTGGCTGGAATAGCAATAGCAATAGCAGTTAGCCTTATATACCGCTTCATAGGGCTTTCAGCCCTTTCTAAGCGGTTTACAGAGTCAGCATATCGCCCCCACAGTCTGGGTCCTCATTTCACCCACCT